AATTTGTTAAGCCTGATGGCTCTGATTTGGAGATGCTGCAGCAACATAACTAAAGTTCCTTAATATTTTGGCATTGCATAAGCTAAGACTCAGTAAAAGTGATTCTTTTCACGGAGACCAACTCAGCCTTTAATCAGTCATTGTCTTTCCAGGGAGATACTGCCATATAGAGAAGTAGGAACTCTTAATATCTAAGTCAGGTTTGGCTGTTACATATTCTGAAATCAATGGTCAAAGATGTCAAATGGTCAGTTCCAAGAGAGGTTTACACGGTTCTATGATCCTACTGTATCTCTCAGTAAATAAATGCACTGGGAAAATACTAACAAGAATAGGGGCACATATTACAAAGATGATTCATTACAAGAAGGGTTAAGGAGTCCACTGGGTCTAAATTCATCTGGCTTTAAAACAATGCATCCTAAATGATGTGCACTTAATTACATTACTAAAGATATTTTGAGGACTAGGGAGTTTATTGAGCAAGTCTAATTCCTATCGATTACGTTCTTTGGAGGGAGAAAAAGAGTGCACACAAGAAGTAAAATGGGTTTTAGGCGGAACAGAGAAAACCTAGATGTTTATCATTATTAACTAGTGCTAAGTCTCTCAGATAGATCCTTTGCCAGTTCCCAAAGTATTTTGTGATGAATTGCCATATTTCTGTAATCAATACAAGTAAACATAACCATTCAGAGCAGAATTGCTAGTGAGCATCCTTAATGTGACAGTTGCAAAGTCAAACATTCACTAGGAAGCACAATTCTACGTGAAGAATGTTTAATATCAGTGTAATTTAAAAAGTAGATGATGGCATTCCAAATTATATTGGAATAAATCCTTATTTCCTGTTCACTTAATTTTATGAGTGGCTAGCACAATGCCAGGCACATAGTAGGTTCTTAATCATCATTAAATGCATGAATAAATAAAGTGCTTCTTTAGGATAGCACATTCAAATGAAAGTAAATCTATCATAAGGTCAAATTCAGAATCGATGGAACAAAATTGTGGGAACTAAAGCTGACCATTTTAAGAAAAGATAAAGTAAAAAATTAGGGAATTTTTAATAGAACATGCAATTGCTCTATCCTTCATTATGCAGAATAACACATAGTTGGAGCAGAGAAATCTTGTAATAGCTTGTTAACATTTAATGGGTGCTAAGTATGTGTCAGACACTATGATAATATTGACAGACATGAGTTCATTTAATCTTCACAGCTGCTCTATGTGATAGGTCTTACTATATTATTCCCATTTTATAGAAGACAAATTTGAGGCTTACAGTAAGTAATTTGCCCAAGATAGCACAGCTAGCAAGAACAGAGTTAAGTCTTGAACACAGTCAGCCTTATTCCTAAATCTATGCCCTTAGCCGTTAAAGTGCTTTGCTTCAGATAGTAAACATGTCCACACTCAGCCATTGCGAGTGAGAGGATGGACAAAAGACACAGAGAGTGAAGAAGGAATTTAGGTCTGCCTAATGGGTGCAAGAGTAGCTAAGCCCGAGGCCAGAACACAGTGCTTCTGGGTATCCATCTGAAGCACTGTGTGTGTCAGAGAAATGGAAAATGTATTAATAAAAAGTGGAAAGAATAGGAAAGGTCAGAGTTTAGGAGAAAAACTGAAGATCAGTATTTAATACCTGTTGAGGCAGGCAGTAGTAATTAGAAACCCAAGCAAATGCATCTGGGTAAAAGATTGAGAGACTCAGACACAGAATTCAATCAAGTATGGGCAATAATAGCAAAAATAAGAAATAACCTAGTAACTAGTTTGTCGACCCTTTGGTTCTTTTTGAAGCCAGGATCTAACTGTCAAGCATGCCAGGCCAGGGACTGGCAAAGAGGACTAAAAAGAAGCAGCTGGTGAGAGTGAGGGGTAAGAAGCAGGGCAGTCATAGACCGGTATGGCCCAGGGATTTTGTCCCTTCATTCTTTATCTCCCTCTCATTTGCATATTCTAATGTTCTGTATAGTAAGCGAAATATATCTATATTGTATGTCTGACAAGATTCTAACTATCCAAATTTCTTATCCGGCCGCAGGAATCGATAACTTTGAATATTCTCAAGCAAGATTTTTCTATGGTCAAATTTCTTTATAGATTTTCAACAGGATTTCACACAATTGTGATTTTTTTATAAAGATAAAAGGCTGATCCAGAATGTAGCCTAGCTAACGGAGCTGAATTATTTATTATACTATCCCCTTGGCATTAAGGAAGACTCATTTGATATATGAGAGTGATGTTTCAAAGAATCCATGCCACCCATTGGAGGGCTCAGAAATCATTTTATTATGTCAACAACACTGAACACGAAGTAACAGTGGAGGAAAAAATGCTTAGATAACTTTGGCGAAGGTATGTCCTGGAAAGTTTGCCTGTCAGAAGAAATGATAGTTTGTGGTGTACAAGATCTGTATTCAACAAATGTTTTAACATGTCTCTCTAGGGAGATTTTAAAAAGGGAGATTTTGAAGGCCTATAAGTTAAGGAATTTATGAGTCAATGGCAGAAAAATATGATTAACAGTGACAGCTTCTAGTTCCTTATCTGAGTCTTAGTCTTCTGAGTAATGTAGCAACTCATCTGAAAATTACATAAGAGCTAGCATGACAGAAATTTGACTTTTTCAGGGACCCTATGATCAAAGATCCAAACCTATTGGCTCACATATGCTGTGTCCTGCTCTTCTGAACCTTGAAGGGCTGGTGAAGTTGCGATTATGTCATATGTTGACCAAAGTCCTTTGTTGATCCCCAAGATGGGGGGGATAGATCATTCCACACAATTAAGAGCCCCTCAAGTGCAGTAGAGTTCATTCATTGATGTCTTTGTGAATTGATGACTCACTAGTTGCAGCTCCCTTAAAAGGAAGGCACACATTCACTTTAAGAGGGACTTCTGGAGTATATGACCTAGAAGGACTCTTTTTGGCTTCTTATTGCTTTTATTTTCTAAGAATAAAATGCTATTGACATAAATAGATATTTGAAAAACACTGTGATAGACTTAAGTATTGAAAAGCACTCCAACATTGGCCACAATTTTCTTTTTCATGTTTAAGGAGTCAGACATTACTGGAAAAGCTTTTTCAAATAATGCCCTTCATTCCTCAATCATTTATTTTTCTAGAACTGGAAGCTTTTGTAGCTTTGGGCAACTTAACCTTAAGGTACACATGCTAAAAATAGCCTGGGGTGTGTTTGATCCTTCTTGGCTGTGTGCCTCTCTGCAAAAACAGAGCTTTAATAGCTTTATCCTTAAATACAATTCATTTTCCTTCCTCTCTCCTTATGATTGCTAAACTGTCACCCTACCTTGCCCCAAAGAGAAATATATGTTGTTCAATCCAACAGATTTTTAAATGTGCTCTATATCTTCTCTCTTGTACCTCCATTCTTGAGCAATAATTCAAACTCTTTAATTAGACCATATTCAAGAGAGTGACTAGAATGGTGAAAAGATTTCATTCTTACAAATGAAAAATGAATAAAGGGAGCTAAAGAGGTTGAACCTGGCAAAGTAAAGGTACAGCAGGGTCATGGTGACTATCATCAAACATTTGAAGGGCTGTCTTAGGGAAGAGTAATTAAAAGTGTAGAACTAGGGCCAATGGATAGACAGACAGTGAAATAGGGATGCTTTCTAACAGATTTTTGCAAGGGTAGATTCAGCTTCTTTAAGAGGGATTGTGATCTAATATAAACTGATAGACCATTTGGGAAGATATTAATATTACTGAAGGATAAGTAGTTCAACTACACAACATTTAAGTTGCTTCTAACCCTGAGAAGCTATTTCTGTCCTTGTAAATGCATGATAATTCTGCTCAAATCCCTTCATTGACTGACTATATATTATAGAAAGAAACAATTATATTTCTAGCTACTGCTTACCTTTCTCCTTGACTCACATCCCAAAAAAGTAGACTATTTTAATATTGTAGTCACCTTGACAACAGTGGTGTCTGTCTTAATAGCTTTCAGTAACATTATTCAAAGGGAATCTATTGCCCAATCAAGTAAGGGGAACAGTCTTCAATGTTCCCTTTCTTTTCAAACCTCAAAGAGTCTAGGATTAAACATGTGCTTTGAAATTAAAATTGTTGCAAATGTGCTGAGTAAGGGAACATCAAGTGTACTTGTTCCAAAGACTAGAAAGTTTTCACTTAGCATAATGCAGAAAAAAAACATATTTTTCTCTTATATTATACATGAAAGATTTTACTAACTAAAAGGCATGGCAGACATTTTACAAGGGTCTCTTATTTCAAATCATCAATACATATTTACCTATATTTTAACCCCATGCATAAGGTGATGGGGCTGCTGTGGAGTCAGAGTTACTGCAGCAGACATTGTACTCAACCACAACCTATCTTTCTTATAATAATTATTATTAATCATGGGAGGATATTGTGCATGTAAAATTTATCCAAGCCAGAAAAAAAAAAATGTCAAGAAGTACTGTGATAGCGAATTCATCAGACATAGTTCTTTCACTAAAGGACCAGCCTTCCTATAAGGAACACAATCTTTGACTTAAAACCATTTAGATTATTTTAAAGAACCTAATACCTATTTCTAATAATAATATATAGCATTTAAGTAAATATTTTCTGTGTATAGGCTCTATGTCAAGCCCTTCCCATTTATTATCTTCTTTTATCATTACAAAACACCGAAGAGTTGATACTATGATTTTCCCCATTCTATATATCAAGAAACTGAAGCTTAAGGAAGTTAAATATCTTGTCCAAGGTTTTACAGTTGGTATTAAAGCACAGCAAGGAATCCAAATTTGACTCTAGAGCCTGAGCTAGTCACCCATCCACTATGCTGTCTGCCTTGATGGCCCTAATGCTAATGTGATTATTTTATTTAGGATAACTTTGTGAAGAAAAGCAAAATTTAATTTGTTTCTTGGTTCCCAATGATTTCCCTCCCATTGTACGTTCAGCTGACCACTCAAGCTTAGAAGGTTACACTCACCCCGTTTATGAAGGAGAACGCTGGCATGTCTACGTCCATTTCCATTTTCAACATAACAGGAGTAATTTCCCAAGTCACCTTCTTCCACAGAGTCCACAATTAATGAGATGGAAACTTCCTGTTCCCCAAGATGCTCCTTAAGAATTCTAAAATATAAAGCGAAAAAACAAAACGCACACACACATACACACACACAAACATACACATACATGAAAAGGAAAGAAATGTAGATGAATCTGAATCTGATGTGAAAATATTATACCTACAGAATCTGTTCTTCAAATTTGGCTATGGATTGATGCTTTGTTAATTAAATTATATCATGTCCTTTTCTTCTTCACTTCTAATGAGGAAGCTTGTCTTTGTAGATGCTAATGAAGTTGCAGTTAATTATCTCTCTTAGCAGGACAATCACACTGTCATAATAAAGAGGTGAGGGAGACCTTGAAGAATAAGTTTACAAATTGCTTTCCCTTTAAGAAGAAATATCATTTAAAGGTGAGATAAGAAATTCTAATGTCTTAGGCTGGAGGCCAATTACATATCAAGTTAATTTTTTTAAAAAAAGAAAGAAAAGAAAATTTCTAAGCTATTTTGACATTTCAGTTGAAACCTCTAGCCTGACTTTTGTTAATGATACAAAGTGCTTATTTTTAAAGAAATATGGAATTGTACAACTGTAGACTAAAAGTTCTGATAAAGTGTTTAACTATGCCATTTATAATTAACGCTAAACATTCACTAACCTTACTGTCAAAGAACTTAGCAATTTCTTAGAGCAAATGGAAAACTTCTCCAAACTAGGGCTCCTTTCCCTGCCCTCAACATTCATACTTCTACCCTCTCACCTGTGTGGTAACTCATCTCTGTGCAACATTTCCTAATGCAGAATCAAAGAAAAATACCTTTCTAGAACCGTCCCTGAGCACACACTAAACCAGAGGGGGTAAAAGTTAAGAGGTCTTTCTTTAATTTTAGCATTTCAAAGAATATGGGTAAAAGTTAAGAGTAAAGTTTTAAATATGAAAAATGGTAGAGGACCATTTTAGTATTAATATATATTGGAGAACTGCCCAGTCGGGCCTTCCAGAATCCAACTGGAGCACTGTAGAGTGCAATATTCTTGTGTATTTGTTGCCAGAAAGAAGATCCCAATAGAAATAACTTTATGTAACAGTTCTATATGTTTTTATTTTCTATTGAAAAAATTTTCTCTTAAACTTTTGATAAAGTTTTAAAAGTCTTGACATTTAAATAGGGGAATCATGATTAAAATGCTCATATATACTCAGAAGATGAAACCTTTGGATGGGAGGATGTCTAGAAATGATCATCATTTTGATTTGGTTATAACTTAGTTTAAGTTGCTTATTTACATTATGATTAAAATTAAGTATCTTTGCCCAAGCATAATTCTAGTCAGCATTGAATACCTTGATACTCAAAAGTAAATGAATAAATAAGTAAATACATTTTGAAAAGAGGCTTAAACATTATGCCTTCAAAATAGATAGTATTTTTAAATGGTTATTTTCTTGGTGTCATTCCCATTCCATAAATATTTAGACCTTAAAGTCAGACTAAGAAAGGTGATTAAAACATTTTATATATCCTCTGTCACTCTCATCAGTGCTTTATATTCTACTTGGTGGCTCGAATACGTAAAAACTTATTAAAGGAAATGACAGAGGTTGTGTTTGGTTGAGTACCTTGTTTATGCTTTCTCTCAACAATTGAAAAAAAAGCTTTTACAAACAAAAGGTACATTAACACGTTTTCTATATTTTCTGGTATTTTGGACTCACACTCAGTATATTCCTTAATAAAACACTCCTTTTTATTTCTCTTAAATTCTTTGCAAATGACATTGATGTTTTGCAATTTCATAGTCTCTTAACAGTGTTTTCCTTCTTTGCTATTAAATAGTGTAGTATTTTTATTTTGATAATAGTAAAGCAAAATAAACCCTTTTATTTTAACTCACTTTCTATTTGCTAACAGAGCAAACATTAATCTTGACTATATAAATTAAAGCAAAAAATTATTTTACCTAATGTCACTTTCCCAAACTCGATTTTCATCAAGATCTTCAATAAACTTCTCTCCTTTCATCCAGTAAATTAAAGGGCTGACATCTCCGCTGTATCCAAAGAAAGCTCTGCAGGTTAGATTAGCTGAATCGCCTGTAGAGAGAAGTGATGGAAATATATTATAAAACTGTACACACTTATTTTAGGCAACATTTTGATCACTTTGCTGATTTAATGAAACATGCTTCTAAAAGACTAATTTTTCAGGTATTTTCAGACTTTGTCAAATTTATAGAATGTGTGATTTTGACAGCATGGCTTGTTTAATGGAATGAGAGTTACCTATAAAATTTTGAAGAGGACTGGTCAGTTATTTTACAGAGTGTTCTTCCAATTAGGTTTACCTGATGTTTTCTCATGATTAGATTGAGGTTATGGATGATTGGGAAGGACACCACAGAGGTAATGTGCCCTTCTCAAAGCATGATATCAGAGGGTAGATAATGTTGATAATTATAAGATTTTACAGGGCGGGAAGAAGGTGTTTCTCAGTCTTAAAAGTGAAAAATAGAAAGGGAACAAAAGCTTTGGCTGGAGAAGAAAAGGAACTATAAGTCCGAGATCCCAAGAAAATGTTACTAAAATATTTTTACTTCATAAGGAATAATATTTTAATTAGAGAAACTAACCCATACTCAAGTAGAAAAGCACATTAAAAATAAATGAAGAATTTATGATAATAAATATTTGGGGTTTTCATTACAGGTAAAATCAATGCTCCTACTATGGAGATTGGATTCTTTCAATATGCTACTTAGGGGAGAACATTCTAGAATGGTGAATACAGATTGATCGATTACCTAATAAGGTAAGCTGAAGTCCCTCACTAAAAGGTGGAAGTGAATTTAATGCCTAAAGAAGGTAAGGTTTATTTCAGGACTGTTTATGCCATCTTACACACACCTGGTTTACCAAAGCCTCAGCAAGCATTAGAGAACTGAAATATTCCAGTACATATGAAAGATCTTGCTACCTCCAAGTAAAGCCAGAGATTGAGAGGTGAGATGGGATCCTGTAAAGGCCTGCTCCAGCTTGGATTGGGGGAAGGGAATTCTCAGGGATGGGCACCCCTTGAGGGCTGAAAACTAGGCCTAGCAACACCTTTGCTGGCATCCGAAGTAAATAAATTTTCTCAAAAATTAGCTGTAGCCATAAAGTCTTGAAAATATTACTAGAGGGCCCTGACAACCCTATGACTTTAAGGCACAAGGAGGAAGGTTTCCAAGGACTGGAAGCCTCAGAGCTAAGCTATGAGTTAACAGTAAACGTCTCCCAAAATTGTGCTTATGAGTGATCCTACAATACAAACACAGAGAAAATCAGAATGCGCTTAGATGCACTCTTTCTCAGCCCAGACATGGGTATCTGTAAACTCAATTCTGTAAGTTCCACAAGAAAGTTTTTATTGGATAAAATTAGTCTTATTCTCTTAATTATGTCCATTGTATAAGAATAGTTCATTTAAAAAGTCTTACTCTTCTAATATTTCTAAGATGGCATGATATATCCTTCCGCATTTATTTTATCTTTGCTCAGGTCTCCATGTTCTCTAAGAGATTCCTCATAGACTTTGAGTCTATATGTAGTAGTCATCATCGGTGATCATATAAGCGAAGTCCAGAAAATGTCTACAAGCTTTTAAGAGGCAAAGGAGGCTCCAAGGAGGTTCCTTTATTATTAGTTTTTGTATACAAATGTTTTCTAAATATTTTAATATGGAATTCTTCTCTCCTTTAGAAGATACTTACATTACAAAATAGATAAATGAATGTCAATTTTAATGTACAGGAATTGCCTGATTTTCCATTATGATTTTACTAAATATGAAGACTTACAAATAATGATCACACCATTAGCAACTCAGCCTGTCATTCTTTAGCAGAGAGGCCAATGAAACCCTCATTGGGACCTAAATTACTCTTTCCTATCACCCTTCTTTCCCAGATCAACTGCAGATTTCTATGAAAAGCGTCAACCAACATTACAAAACAATTTTAAATCAAATACTCTTTGTGTTTACATTTTTGTAAGAACACTAGTTTTTATGCAACTGGAGTATGTGTTATAGCGCCAAGTGCCAAGGTAATCATGAATTCAAGAGTAAGTCTCAAAATACTACATGGTATGATGATTAACATACATGCTAACAGAATCAAGATACGTTACAGAGTTTAAAAATGTATGTATCAATAATCTATACAATGTATCTTTTAAGAGACCAAGTTTTAGTTTTTAGGTGGGACTTAATGCCTAGAACTCATAAACGGAAATCTCCAGGTATTGCCTAATTTTTCATTACAATTTTACTGAATATGAGGACTTACTAATAATGATCACATCATTAGCAACTCAGTCTGACATTCCTTAGCAGAGAGGCCAATGAAACTCTCGTTTGGGACCTGAATTAGTCTCTCACATCACCCTTCTTCTTTCCCAGACCAACTGACTTGGTTTTCTTAACTGTTCATTTCTCTCACTTACAGGCCTTCTATTGCCACACCTAGGAAATGGCTCCTGCAGCCCTGGAAGAAGTGATTTGCTTTCTCAGTCATCTCGGCTCTCCTGGTCTCTGACAACCCACCTTGACTGGATCTCCAGGGCTGAATGTATCTGCGGTGCTACGGGGCACTTAGGGGAAGTCTATCCAGAATTGGGTTGGGCTTGCTGTGGGTCAGAGAGTGGAATTCATGGAAGGAATAGTGAGGGTGGAGGGAAGAATACAAAGCAGGCAGAGAGGAAAGAGCATGAGTGAGAGAAAACCAGAGAACTTTGGGGGAAATAAATAACATTGGAGTGTTTAAAGCTAAAGTGTACATGGGGCGGGGAAAGGTAAAGGGAAGATTAGGGGGACAATAGAGCCCTGATGAGGCCAGAGCAGTAGCAGTCCTATTCTTCTATGCAGGCCATGTAGAAGATTTGAGACTTTCATTTAAAGGCAAAGGGGAGCTGGGGAAAGGTTTCAAATAGGAGACTGAAATAATCACAACTCCCTTCTGAAAAAAATTACTTTTACTGCATTTTCTAACCTGGGATTGGATCAGACAGAATCAAGCAGGATACAGAATGTGACAAAACTCTGGGATCACATGAGGAATAGTTACTGCAAAGGCTGGATTATTTCCGCGTAATTTCTTAAAGGGATAGAGAATAGGTGGTAGCAATGACTACAGATCATTATGCTTTTTTAGCTTTTTTATCAAGGTGGTCATAGGAAGCCTCTTAAAGCAGAGGTTAAATAGGAAGCCTGTTAAGAAAGAAAATATATATATTTTTTTACTTTTATAATTTATATGTATCACTGTGTGTGTATCTCACACACAGAGAGAGAGGTAGAGAGAGATTGCGGAGCTGCCTGCTGCTTCCCAATATAAGCAGGACAGAAAGTCAATATGAGCAGTGCTTTGTTCTGTGAAGAGATTTTTCAGTGGTTTCCCTTTATTGTGCCAATTTGTGTGGCTGAGCAAAAGGCACCACTCCCTTTCTTATGCATAGCTCTGCTAGCAGGCAAGACACTAGGAGCCCAGTGGAGTCAATCCTGAAAGCAAGCCAGGTGAAATGAAGTTTACACCTGAGACTCTATCCAAAGGTCTAAGTGTTGTTGAGAAAAGCTGGTCCACCAATACTTTTCATCTGGGAAATGGTGATTACCACACGTGTGTCAGAGAGCTGCAACACTGGAAACCAAGCATGAATTACCTTGTGTTTGAAAGCAGGAATGAAGAACTTATATCCCTTCCCCCCAAATAAGAATCAGGGGCCAGGCGCGGTGGCTCACCCCTGTAATCCTAGCACTCTGGGAGGCCGAGGCCGGCGGATTGTTTGAGCTCAGGAGTTCGAGACCAGCCTGAGCAAGAGCGAGACCCCGTTTTTTCTTACAAAAAATAGAAAGAAATTATCTGGACAACTAAAAATATATAGAAAAAATTAGCCGGGCATGGTGGTGCATGCCTGTAGTCCCAGCTACTCGGGAGGCTGAGGCAGGAAGATCGCATGAGCCCAGGAGTTTGAGGTTGCTGTGAGCTAGGCTAACGCCATGGCACTCACTCTAGCCCAGGCAACAGAGTGAGACTCTGCCTCAAAAAAGAAAAAAAAAAAAAAAAGAATCAGGAGTTGATAGAAATTCATGGGGCAGGGTGGGGCTTAGGAAGAGGGGATGCACATTTACCCAATAAGGGCAAATAAGAATGAATAATGAGCCTACAGCCATACCAATCTGAATGCACCGAATCTCAGCTGATCTCAGAAGCTAAGCAGGGTCAGGCCTGGTTGGTACTTGGATGGGAGAATGACAATAGGAAAATACAAAAGGTGCAACTATGTTTGTACCTTGGGCTGGGGATGTGGGATGTGCCACTTATAGAACAGGCTTTTAGCATTTGAATTTTAGGGGTTGCTCATTCATGATTCATTTAATATTCTCATGCTTATCACTATATTCTGTGCTTTAGATTCTCATTTCCACCTAGTACACTCTTCATCAATTTGCAACGCAAATAGAATCTCTTCCTAAAAGATTGGCTGCCTTTTCAAGAAATATTCATGTCAAAAATAAAACCAACCATCCTGTAGAACAAGCGGAGTCTATGTGGTAATGCTTAAAGAAGGGGCTCTTACTCTTTCAATATATTTGGATAGAACTTCAGGTACGGAACAAATACCCGTAGGAAATTCAAAAGAGCCAGAATATGCTAAACAAAACCAAGAGAGAATGTTGTTTTAAAGGGCATAAATTCTAAAATTATTAAAAGCTTGTTTATGAAATTTTAAAGTGAGACACTATGTGCCTACTATGAAATTGTAGGAGGATCTACGTCAGCATACTGCAACACTGCAATAATAAATATTTGACAAAGACAATTGAGAAGAAAAAAGTTTCTTTAATGGAGTAAGTTTGTAAGTCTGGCAAATTGGAGGTTTTTTTAAAATTAAACTATATAATTTGTAGCAATTTAATGTACTTTTAACTATAGTTAATGTGATTTAAAGTCATTTTTTTCTTTAATCTTATTCTCTAAGAGACACCATTTTCACTATGGTTTCGCCAGCCTCAAGAAGAAAACCCTGTAGTTAGTTATGGTCTATGA